ATATATATATATATATATATATATATATATATATTTATATAAGCCAAACAGGAAATAAAAAATATGCAATTCATTATAGCTAATCAACTACTTTAATAAGTAAAAAATAGTATTAATTTACATAAGAAAAGCACCTGATAAAGTTTGAATTATTGTCCATTATGATATTAACATAGCTTTGTGTTTATACCTGGAGATAGTGGAGGTGCAGCAGTTGCAAAATTTACACTTGTTGATAAGGACTCTGTTGATGGAAGTTTAGGTAATGTTGCAGATTGAACTTGAACACTGCTTCGTCGAAGTTGTTGATCCACTGGTTCTATATATTTAGTTTTATGTTTTCAATCACAATTACTATTTATCAATATCTTTATAACTGTCTCAGAAAAATATATTTTTTAAATTTATTTAGATATTTATCTTTTAAAATCACAAACTCTTTAAATTTTTCAAGTCTAAACTATTCAACAGCAAAAATTTTAAGATTAAATTATATCATATTGCATTTTAGTAAAATATAAATTTAGTTTTTTGCAACACTAATTGTGAATTGCTAATAATGTTAATTTTCAAAGAGAAGATTTGTAAACATAATTATATACAATGTAGCTCCAAGTTTCAATTTAATATATTAAATTGCAAAAGCAAAAAACAAACAAATATGTACATCTATTAAGATATATAAAAGTATAAGTTCATTAGAAATATTTGCATGCATAAAAAGAAATATATTTTTTAAATATATTACATTGTGTATATTTTGAATATTTCATAAAATATTTTTCTACTTAAAAACTACTAAAAATTATCATTATAAAGCAGCAATAATTTAATAACAAATTTAAATATTAATATGCATCTTACATTATATAATATATAATTATTCATGCATTAAAAATATTGAAATTATAAAAATTTGTTCTAAAAAAAAAGTTTACATATAATATTCTTTAAATAAACATATGAATAAATGTTCATATTATACAATATATTACAATATACTAAAAAATAAAAAAAATGTGCTAACAGCATGAATGTATTATGTTAATTTGATATATTTAATAGCATAGCATTTTAATACTTCTAATAATATAAATTATTTTTTTGCTTAATGATAATATTAATAAAGATCATATTTAAACATTAAATGAAATCAATTTGTATATAATAAATTTTATTTATAATTTATTTGATAAGATGATAATATAAGAAGTTCTTGAAAATGAGAAAATGCTAATAATAATATGTAATCTGAAAATAGAATTATATATATATACACATATCTACTTATTCACTTTTATGATTCTAATATCGAGGCTTGCTACTATATGCACATAATATATATTAATAAGCCTACCTAGCTTACTTGGTAATGTACCATATCCACTGTCATTAATACCTTTAAATAGTAGTTCAGAATATTTTATATATTATTAAAATAATAAATAATCATTAAAATATAATATTAATAAATA